CCATCAAGTCATCCTTTCCTAGAATCTATCCCATCAATCTTAGAATGCAAAATAGGTTAATAGTGTCAATGAAATTAGCTAAATGAGTTGAATAAAGCGTTGTAATTAATGAACATATGCGCATATATATTTATACTTATGTAGCTAGCTGAAGGGGACATTTAACAAGGTGTTCACATCATTCTTGTACATAAAAGAAAAACAATATACACTCCTTGGACAGTGGTGAATACGGAGTTTTTGTCATCTATCCGACTATCAGCTGATCTAAGTGTTGAAGAGTTGATCAGTGTGTGTGTGTGTGGGGGGGGGGGGTTGTGCGGGGTGGTAGGCGAAACAGTGTGTTATCAATCAGTAAACAAACCACTTCACTGTATCTAATCAATCAAACTTCACCTGTCACTGTCGCATAACAGACACAATGAGAAAAGTGAGAGAGAGAGCGAACCGGAATGAAGCTGAATAGGTGTTTATGCCAGTGAAGGATAGGAAAAAGTGGGAAGCGTTAAGTGCTTCACGTATAAATAAGCGGAGACGGAGACGTGCCGGGAGGGGGAGTGGTAGAAACATGGACACACATGCACACACAGAGGATAAATAAACAAAAATAACTCATCATCCTTCACTTTCAAGGATTTTGTTTTCTTTTTAATTCGATTCCATTTACTTGATTGACTAATCGACTGTATTGTATTGTGTTAGAAGAGTTAGAAGTTGTTTTTAAGAGTATGATGTCATGGATAGTTCAGTTATCTTTGTCACTGAATAATGCCAAAGATGAGGTGAATATACAAGATTGTTCAGAAAAGTTAGGTAAATAATTAATTCATTACAATAGTAAGAATTTATTTCGACTTTCTAGGAGATGTTATTAGCCCACCATCGAAGTGGAAACCCACCTTATGCTGATAGTGCTTATTTTCTTTATACAATGAATGGGGAAGCAAAAACTTTGCAGTTGTGACTGCAGAATACAGAACTTGCAGTTAGAAGTCAGGTCAGTTACAGATTTATCATGTATTGAAAACATTTATTTCCCGATACGAATTTAAAACAAGCAATAAAGGTTAATTAGGCAGGATTTAATGAATTCATCAAACTTTGGTAGGACTCTTCATCGGCTGAATACTCTACATACACGGAGATATATATATACTTTTGAAATTACATTGGGAGATATAAGACTGAAAAGCAAATAAACTACATTGAATTAGTCATGCAGAAAGACAGGTGCGAATGTTTTCCAGGTCATGCTCAAATAGATAAGAGGGAAGAGAGTATGAGAGATCAAAATTAAGATATATTGCATAACGCTTGAATTACATCACTTAGATAAACAATTAGTCATTAGAGAATATAACAAGAATTGCAAACAGAGTAATATCAATAGTAATAGTTATAATAACAATAATAATAATAGCGTTGAAGTGAGTTAAGATAATCCCACTGATAAGGGTTAGTTTTAAATGAATCAAAAATAATAATAATGTTAATAATAATAAATAATAGAATAATAAGTAAAACGTATTACCATGGCAAATTCAGAGTCACGACCATCTCCTTTTGTACACAGAGACCTGGTTTATAAACTCGAATTGCACAAGCCTCTGCAATTGCAAGCATCTTCTTGTTTCTTTGTCTGCTAACAACAGTGAATGACTTAACCGCGTCGATATCATGTCCGTAGTCACAAGATGTTTTGACACTTTGCACTCAGCTGTTTTCAACCATTTTGGCAAGTGCTCTATCATGCGAGTAGACAATCACCTTTCCGTACGACCTATATTTTTGCTTCCACAAACACACTCAAATTGATATACGCAGTTTGAAGTGTCGAGGATTGGCGACTGGTCTTTCCCAGATTGTTGAAGCACTTGCTTAGTGGTGTTAAGGAAAACAAGTTTTGCAGCATAATAAGTTCTCTTGATGGCTTTGTCGAGTCTTCGTTTGACTATTTACTGTACATCATCTCCTTTGAATGGCAAACTGATATAGACAGATTTCTTCGGAACTGTTTGGGTAGTTTTGCAGGGGCTCATTTCTTTAGAGTATTTATTAATGAACTTCTCCGGATATCCATTCTTAAATTAAAATATCCTTCAGAGATTTTATTTCATACTCAATAGTACTGTTAAAACAAATTTTTCGTGCTCTATTGAACAGTGTTCTGACTAAGTTCTTTTTATACTGGATTGGAAGAAAGCTCTTGAAATGCGCGTACTGTCCTGTCCATGAAGACTTTCTAAATATGGATCTTTCGATCGTGCCATCATTCATTTTCACTTGAAAAACGTCTAGGAATTTAATAGTATCGTATTCCTCGTGTTGTATTGTGAAATTGAGATTAGGATGATATGAGTTGAATTTTATCAGCATGTCTTCGGCCTTTGATCTGCTTCCACAGGCAATAAAAATGTCACCAACATATCTCAGGTATACATCCGTTTCTTGTGTGTGTTGCTGCAAAGTACCAGCTTCTAGGCCTGACAAGAATAAGTCAGCGAAAAGTGGTCCCGTTGCGACACCATCAACTTGACGGAAACGGGCTCGTTGCTGAGACTGAAGTAGCTGGAGAGGGATTCAAGCTGGGACCTTTAAGCCGATTTTACTTTACAACAGGACAAGTTCGCAACACTTTACATTGGAGCCCAAGATGAACGTTGTCGTTCCTCTTCTTTTCTCTCATCACTACCATTCACTAACGAGAAAGAGACATGGAAGTCTGAAGTTTCACACATCAGATTTTTTACGCTTGACAGGCTTTTCAGTGACTAGACCGGATATTCAGTAGTCAAGGCGTTTGAGTTGGTGATGCAACCAGGCTAAAACTCTGACTGTTTGAAAAGATTTACAATCATGAAGAAAGTAGTGTTGACCATCTAATTATATATATATATATATTGCGCTAGACAAGTAATTACGCTTGATAGAATAACTATTAAACCAGTTGTAATATACACTTGTGGAGTAAGCTACTGACAGGAATACAGAAGTCTGCCTAAATCACTAGACTACCTAAAGTTTTGCATCCGTTAAACTGCATCAGGTTTTTTTCCTTTTGATACTGTTTTAGTGATCTAATTGCAACAGTGAGTAACAGTTCATACTCGTGTACTATTTCAAACAATTTTCTACCTAATGCTGGCAGTTTTTCGAAGGGAATGGAGAAATAGTACTAGAGGAAACCTCGGCTGGAACAATATTAGTTAAGATGATATATATTATCAAATATTAAGTTATTTAAACATCCTGCACGAGAAGAGAATACCTTGCAATGAAACCCGCTGACAATCCTATATTGTGTATAAATGCATCTCTCAGAATATAACTGTTATTATTGTTATTTTTAAAAAGTTTATATATAGTTCTGTGGTTGGGAACGATACGCAGGGAGCCGTGGTTAAGCCTAGGTTTTGTTCCTGTTGGCATTAGTGTCATATTATGGTGTATCTGCAATTTTGAAGGAACTCATACCTCTTCTGAGATTCAAACTTGAGTCACCCAGAGTTTCATTTAGAGATATGAACGCTGAGCTATTCGGACTTGCGATTGACCTCCTGATTGTACACTAGTCAGTAACTAGTGTAATATGTCTAGTCCTATCTTTCGTACAGACTGGATTGTATCAGTGAAGCTTGCAATGTGGCCAGCATGTCACTATGTGACTCACCATCACGTTGCACGGTGAACTGTTGGTATTAGATGGTTGGAGGCCATCGGGAGTAAGACTTGGACCTAGGTTTCGTGCTAGTTGGAACTCACCACTCAGCAAGGCGTAACTGCGCCCTTGAAGGAAGTCATGTCCCTTCTGAGATTCGAACCCGCGTCACCTAGTGCAGCAGGCTGCAGTCAGAGACGTTACCACTGAGCTCTTCGGGCTTGTGATCGACCTCCTATGGGGTGAAATGGATACACTGATGAGAAAACTAGGTAGTAAGTGATGTTATGCGTCAAGGCTGCAGATACACTTGCACGAAACCTAGTTCAAGCAGGGCTTCCTGCCGATTGCCTCCAACCAGCTAATACCAACAATTCAGATTACGACCCATCTACAATGGTGATCACATTGTAAACTTCACTGAGAGAATTGAGTCTGCACCAACCCTCATCAAAGACTAGACTCATGACACTGTATACTACCTCGTGTCCAGCTGAAGTAGACATTTATAAGTAGTATACTGCATGCGACGACTTCTGCAAAAGTCTTGAATAGCAAAGTGATAGATTTCATGGTGAAGAGAAGAAATCAGAGATCCTAGTGAAACGGCACGGAAAGCATGAGGCGAAAGAGGCAGCCACACACGAATAACGTTTGCCAAATGAAGCTTCACTTTAAGTCTTTAGTATTTCGCCTATAAGTGCACATCAGTCCTGACTGCTGAAATAACCATTGAGTTCTCCCACTGCCCACTTGTCTGATTATTGATGCAAGCATACAATAAAAGCAGAATAGGCCATCTTAGTTTAACAAAATCAGGACTCATGATAAACTATAGTTTAGACACACACAAACAAACAAACAAAACGGGGAATTAGAGATTTTTCATCTGAAATTATTGCTAGGAAATCATTAAAAGAATAAACTTCCGAAATTGTGGTTGTTTGCGCAATAAATTAACTCTTTCTCTCCCTCCCTCCGTCTGTTTCTCTCACACTAACTTTATCTCTGTGTCCTAATTCATCTTTAAGCCATATCACTTTTTGATTCCAGTTACTTCTGACGTATCTACTCGTTCACGTGAATGCCTATTCCTATGAGTATATATACATATATATCACCACATCTTTAACTGACGCAATATTCCGAGTAATTTCACTCTGTTTAACTATCTATCCATCTATCATGGTGGCCAGCTAGCTAGCCATTTATTTAGCCATCTATCTTACTTAGCCTGCGTTGAATTCACTTTTTCAGTTAGTCAGTTAGTTAGCATAAATGATGAATGACAACCAATCATATTTGAAAGTATAAAAATTCTAAATAAAAAAAAAACGGTTACCTGAAATATTCTGTAGGCTACAGTTGTGAGTGCATGTCCGTTGGACAACCGATCAATTTCAAAGATATCCAAGCCCCATTCATCTAAGCTTTGAGTAAATCTCTGAAATATATAATAAAAAAAGTTACGTATAAATACACTGCATACACGTATCTGTATTCATGCGTGGTTTATTAATTAAGCAAAGTAAATTCTCTGATAGCATTTTGCTTCCAGCATTATATCATTTTATAGCTCATTATCGATGCCGTTAAATGGATGGTGACGGAAGGTACAGATGATGAATTTTCAAGAGTTACTCTGTAGGGACTTGAGTTGTATCAAGTTTGATCATGGATTAATATCAGTCAGAGAAACACTGAAAACCAATACGGAGAACTAGATAGCTGTTTCGTCCTAGTTTGGTACTCATTAGTAGTTCACTCCCAAGGTAAGCTCGTAAGCTGGGACCTGATTCGAAGGATAGTCCATGAATTCTAATTTTCACCAATTCGTGACCATAGCACGACTAACACTAGCCAATGTCACGCGGTCCCACTGGCTGAATGGTCTATGAGCTTGACGTGTAACTGGAAGGTCCTGAAGTCCTCGAAGTCAAGTGGATGCGTACTGCCACGTACTGAACTCACCGGTGAGTTCAAAACTAAGACAACAGAGACAACTGTCCAGTACTCCCTACTGATTTCCAGTGGTTCTCTGACTGATATTAATCCGTGCTCGAACTTGAAATAATAAATTTTATTTGTTTTCGGTAATGATTCAACCTTATATGCCTCGTATTTCTTTAAAATATGTCGGCGCTGATCCCCTTTATTCCCATGAGTCACTTTCCACTTCAAGTTCGTATTGTTGATGCAACAACGGAAGAAAAACGTGTAGGTGGAATTCCATAAAACTATATTTACCAAGTAAAAAAGATATGTATCTATGAAGAGATTGATTTAGATCAATCAAGGCTTGATGAAGTCAGCAATCCAAGGTTCTCACTTTTATAAAAGTTGGTGTACATGAGACCTTTATTCCATGCGATGATAATTATAATTTCAATAGTATTCTAATTGGTTACCATCCACCTATACAATCCATCACAGTTGAAATGGAGAACGTGTCTAACATTCATTTTCTTGATTTGAAATTACCAAGGAGGATTGATAAAACTTTGAGGAGATCAACTTGTTAAAAGCTGTCATGGGGTGACCAATTGACAGACTTCTAAAGTTAGTTAATCCTGGTTCGATCACTTGACACTCGAATTCAGCGCATCTGCAGCGGAGGAAGATTTAAATCTTCTAGGAGAAGTCCAAAAGGAAAGGGGATTGTCGCTACATTTCGTAGACAAGAATTTGCATTTACGACCTATAACATGTAATTTAACGTTTGTAACCAAGAAAATCTAAACCTTGAATCCAATGGTGACTCAGCTGACGAAAACCTTGGGAGAAAAATCTCACAGTCCTTTAAAGGGACATTCTCTGTGGAATTGTTATGAACAGTGTCTTCTGGTCGGCCACTACTGTTGAATGACCTGAGTGACAGGATCCCACAGTTGAACAACTCTGTGTGCGTTTATCGTTTCATTTGTTCTTCTGGAGCTAGGTATATTAGTCGTTCGACCAGGGTTTTGTCCAACAGAGTACAAGAAGGCTATCCTGCGTGCGTTTGAAGAGGTGGAAACAGAGCTATGAAACATCTAGTCGATACTGGCCGTCCTACCTCTACAGTTTCTTCCTTTAAAGTCGTCTACAAGGCGAAAAATAATTTTTCCAAATCACTAAGTATCTGATTCACCTGTATTGCTGAAGCTTCGGCCATCAAATAGGCATGCCAGGTCTCTGTATAGAGAAAACGTTTGTTCAACCCCTCCAGCTCTCATGGTTTTAATCTATCTATGCTAAAGTATGATAGTCTTTATTCATATGTTGGCGCCGTATTTGTTTTGCGTTTTGTTTATTGAATTTGTATATCTTTCTCTTATCATGTCAATTGTTATTATTAATAATTTCACTTTGAACAATTTCCGGTATTATCTCATTTGTCCTCATATATTTATTCTGATATAATTTTTACGATTTTGTCATACCACCGGTTTGCTTAATGTTTTAGCTGCTTACTGATCTTATTATCTCTACATCCCTCTGAGATTTATATATTTGACTGGTTGGAGGATTTCATCATGAGCTGACATTGGTTCGAGAACCATTGGAAAACCAGCTGGGAGTATTGGACAACGTTTTCGTCCTAGCCTGGGACTCTTCACTAGCACTCACCCACCGCGAGGATTCGAACCCACGACCTTCTGGCAACAAGGCAATCTGGTAGATAATTAAGCCACTGGGACGCGATCCAACGGTTCATGAATTCTACCTTCTGCAAATTCACGACATAGCGCAACCACTTCACAATGTCTTCTTCAATGAGTAACTGTTATCACCTTTGGCATGCTGTATCCTACTAGTCACGGCTTCCCTCTAGAGCCCCAGGTCACTGCCTGAATGGAACTAATCGCTAGTGAGCATCAGATCATTTTTCAGGTACTGGTTTGTAGGGATTGTGTTCGAATGGTTGGAGGATTTCATTATGAGCTGATATCTGTTGAAGAAACCATTGGAAAACCAGCTGGGAGTACCGGACAGCTGTTTCATCCTAGTTCGGGTCCCAGTGGCTTAATTATCGACCAGCTCGCCTTGTAGCCAATAGGTACTGGGTTCTGACCCTTGCGGTGGGTGCGTACTGATGAGGAGTCCAAAACTAGGATGAGACGGGTATCCAGTACTCTCAGCTGGTTTTCCAATGGTTCTCTAACCGAAATCACCTCATGATGAATTCCTCCAACCAGTCAAAGGAATTCCTCAGAAACCAACACTTGGAAATTCACATACTTTATGAACTATTTTGTTGAAGCACATAACCAATTGTTTTTATCACAATTTACATTATGATAAAAACATCATATACGTACGACTGTACAGCATGATAACATTCTAATATGAATAAATAACCCTTCGTGAGTCAAGCGATCAACACTTTGTGTTGATTACTATTCAATAAAGGATAGACAATTTTCCAAAATAAAAAATTTCTACTTAATTTTGAGAAAATATCGGTAATTTTATTTACTTTCATTAGTATGTGATATCATTTTACTAAATGGCGCCTCATTTAATCGTCAGCGAAATATATACATTTCACTTCAAACAAAGTTTTACCTTGAATTCTGATCAAGTTTTTATCGAGAGGTGGAATAGTCACATCTGTAAAAAGCGTCATCAACAACCTGATTTAATTTATGCATTTAACTCTAGAATTCATGCAAAATATTACAGCTTACCTCTTCTAGTTCTTTGTCATTGGGAGTTTCAACACCGTGAATCGGAAGTGTCGACGCATTGTCTGTTCCAGATTTCTCGTCAACATTTGTTCCTTTTGATGAATTTGTCATTGACTGTCTTGCTGCAGACGTGTTTGTATCACTTGGCTGGGTAACTTTATGCGATTCTGCGGATGCACTGCCAGGAGATTCCAGTTTTCCTTTTGAAGAGGAATCTGGTGATTTTGCACTGGATATACTGGCGTTCACATCACTGGCTATTGATGAATGCCGTTTATTTCCATTGCCCGAGTCTTGTCCACTGTTGGAACAGTGTGACTGGCCACTGCTACGTCGTCTCTCCAGCATTGATTCAATCTCTTCATTGGCTTCAGCATCTTTTTCAGTTTCTTTAAAGAAACCGGGAAAAAATTGAAGAGGCTATATAAATTTCAGAAATGCAAAGAGATTGGTAAAAATAAATAAAGGAAGTTATGCAGGAGTTGACGGAATTTGTTTGTAGACTGGACATTCATCTTGAAATCTATCCGGCAGTCAAGTGTCATATCTAAGTTGGTCTTTACTAATTAAGGCATCTGAGGCAAACAATAATGATGGTGTGTGGGTGTACGTGGGTGTCAAACTGTGCACATAAATTTTCGATGGCATACGATAGACAACAGTCGGTAAGCAGCATCTACTTAAATATTTGTAGGTGAGCATACTTTCTTTTAGCATACATATGACGTTCGAATGGTTCTTTATTTGAGATAGTGGTTACAAGAAGGGCGTCATTCTCTGAACGCATCATCCAGTTAATTAACTGAAGTCAGTACAACAAACATACTGAGTATTTTCAGGCCTCAGGACATACTTCAACAAAGATTTACGAAAACTTTATGAAGCGTTGCTATTGAGAAGGATTTATGTGACGAATCCAACCATAGATTGTTTTCTTCCTCTCAGTTCACTCGCTTAGAAATACGAGTGTAGTCATCAGATAGAGTGAGCACGAGTTATATCGGTTGAATTATGAAATCCCAACCTGTTTTATCATTACAGGGACTGCTAACCCAACTTTTCATTGGATGTGGATTGGAAGATTGCAGTAGAGAGTTTACATTTCTTTTATCACTAGCTTATCACTCGAGTGTCAGTCATGTGGGGTCCCAGGTTCAGACCTCAGTAAATCTACTCCATTCTGCGCAAACAGAAAAAGTTATCATCTGTCCTGACACGGTAATCATGTAGCTTAAAGCGTGCAACACATAGCAGACCTGTTCTGAATGTAATGACAAAACAGAATATGCCATAGGAGAACTCAGTACGACATTAATATGTAGCAAAGTTATGGAGATTTAAAGTTTCCACTAGATTTATCTCAAATTCAGTGCATGTTAAACTCAAATATATTGACAAATGACAGTATTGCATAGTCAGATTTATTACTGTCTGATGTCGAATAGCGGTTGAAAATACTAGTTCCCCTGTAGAGCCGAGTATGCTTTTCGTTCGTATCCTATCCCACATGATTGCGGAAAGGCAGTATTGGCTGTATAATGAGTTCGATAGTGGAACACCTAGTCAATACTGGTCATTCAGTCTCAACAAACTCCTTCCTGAAAGTAATCTCTTCTGTATCGCCAAAGCTCTAGGCATTTGGATAAAGGAACCGGAGTTACGCATACAAAAGAAAATTAATTTTCAAGTACTGGTTTTGTGGGGATTTTGTTTGATTGCATGGAGGATTTCATCATGAACTGACATCGGTTAGAGAAACACTGGAAAACCAGCTGGGAGTACTGGACAGCTGTTTCGCCTTGGTGTTGGACTCTCCAGCAGTACGCACCCAACGGGGTTCAAACCCAGGACCTTCTGGTTACAAGGTGAGCTCGTAGACCGTTGAGCCACTGGGACCCGGTCCAATGGTCCCAGTAGGCTATAGCAGGTTGAAGGTGAGGCAGTAACTCATCGAAGAACATATTGAGAAAAGGTCGCGCTTTGTCGTGAATTGGCAGAAGTTAGAATTCAAGGACCATTGGACCGGGTCCTAGTGGCTCAATGGTGTACCTGCTTTCCTTGTAACCAGAGGGTCCTGGGTTTGAACTTCGTTGGGTGCGTACTGCTGGAGAGTGCAACACCAAGGCGAAATAGCTGTCCAGTACTCCCAGCTGGTTTTCCAGTGGTTCTCTAACCGATGTCAGCTCATGATGAAATCCTCCATTCAATCGAACGAAAATTACTCAACCACTTCTACTGTCACAGTAACAACCTTGCTGATTTCTGTCGAGCTTGATTTTCGTTGGTTAGTTTGCTTTTCCAACGCCTTATAGCTTTTGTATTTCCTCAAAACTCCTACTTATTTCCATACTTTCCTTCGTTTCTGTGTGTATCCTCATGACAAATTATTCGTTCATAAAAAATAATCATCCTATTACGTAACTCGAATGCACTTATTCAACTCCTCTTGTGCATTGGCTAATATTAACAACTATGTTTATGAACACTCATCACTTATGTTACTATCCTCTTTCATGGAAAACTGATTGTATATAAATGCGAGTGTACAGCTGGGGAGAAAAAATGAATTTGCCGAAAAGAGCCTCTTCTCTGAATTACTTCCTTTTGTTTTTCAATACTATCTGGATAGGATTGATTATTCATGGAATGGAAAATTGTATCACGTCATACAAAATTTAAAAAGCACTCGATTAACACAAAGTACTAGTCGTTAGAAACATTTATCAGACGAACTGAAAAATTTTATCTTTTCCGCCTTATGTTTTTAACCAATCTTGTTTTAATTGTCACTTTAAATAAAACAATAACTCGAGTGGAAATGTTATTTAAAAACTGATTTACACTAATAATAGCTTACAATGTAATTATCATGATGAGAGGTAAAAAAATAAAATAAAATGCAAGAATTTACTTACCCAAAAATGTTTCACAAATGTATGCAGATATTTGATGCCTAGATTTATCAGCTTCGCCAAAACTGCTCAACTCTTTGTTTAGCAAACGTTTGAACTGAAGAAAAATGAAGTGAAGATGCATAGCTTGATTCTTAGGCAAACGAATATATATAAATATATCGAGTTGTAAATTTATTATTATTATATTAATATTGTTTCCTTTAATTCCTAGAGGAACATAGGGCTTCAGCCTCACGTCTCCATTGCGTTCGGTTCTCTGCTAGAGTCTTCACCTGGCTCCAAGTCTGCCCACACGTTTTCATCTCCTCTTCACATGACCTCCTCCAAGTCACCCTTGAAAGACCAACTCGCAGCTTCCCTTTCGGGTTCCACTCGAGCAATGGCTTGTCTAGTGACTCCATAATGGATAAGATTTTATTTTGATAAATCACACAGTGTTGTACAGTTATATTAACTGATGACGTTTCGAGCACAAACTATTGCTCATAATCATAATCATAATCTAGCGATGTCACCTGATGGTTTCCTCAGAGTATGGCCAATCCAATCCACCTCCATTTCTTCCTGCATATTTGTTTCACAATCGGTTCCTGGTTGGTTCGCTCATTGTCAGAGATCCCTGTTGCTGATCTTTTCTGGCCATGTGATCTTCAGTATTGAGCGAAGACAACTGTTAATGAAGCTCTGTAGTTTGTTTGAGATGCTCTTCATGACGCTCAGTGCAAGTCTCTGATCCGTATAGTAGCACTGACTGACTTCATATTGGAGTTGAAAATCCGGGTCTTATTTCCATTTTCATGCTGAGTGCTGTTGACCTCTACACAGACTTGAGAGTAATGAAAGCCTGTCTTGCTCTTCCGATTCTTGCTTTGATATCCTCGTCAGTTCCGCCTGTAGTTGAAACGATGCTTCCCAGGTAGGTAAAAGAGGTTGTTTCTTTCACGTTCCTCCCATTTATACTGATCGTTGTCTGTTGTTGTTCTTGTCCAGGAATCTTCATCACCTCTGTTTTCTCTATGTTCACCTGAATACCTATCTTTGATGCTTCTTCTGCCAACTTGTTGCTTTTCGCTTGCATATCTTCCAGTTTGTGGGAAATCAGACATATATCATCAGCGAAGTCCAGATCCTCCAAGTTTTTTGTGTGGGTCCATTTTATGCCTGTTTCCTCATTTTCCGCTGTTTGTCGCATTATCCAGTCTACTGCAATCAGGAAAATCATTGGCGATAGTAGGCAGCCTTGTCTTACTCCTATCCTCACTTCGAAGGATTCCGTAAGTTTTCTGTTGTGGATTACTTGGCATGCAGCATTGTCGTACAACTAACTGTTGGATGAGATGTATAATTGTCGGTGGCACCCTGTATTAGCGAAATAGTTTCCAAAGCACCTCTCGATTATTATTATTTATTACTATTATTACTCGTTGTCTGGGTACGTAATGGAATACAGGGAAATTGCCACTTAACTCGATTTTCTTCTTTGCTATTCATCTGGCTCAAGGACTGCTCACAAGCTTCCGTTACCCCTTCACATGATCTCTTTCCCTCTAGCTGTTACCCCTGGGTACCCAAATCGTCGCTCCCAGTATACAGCCAGGCACTTGATGTTGCGCTTCTTATCTTTTGAGTGTAGATTTAGGGGGGAATAAAAAATATGTTTTCTTTTATAATTTCTGTTAAGCTTTATTTCCTCCGGCCACTTTGTGAACTCTATGAAACTGACTGGAATAAGGACTAGGAACTGGAGTGTTTACTGATATTCTAACCAGATGCATTGATATCGATCTCAGCTGGTAAATGATCTGCAGGAGGATCTGTCAACGGGGTTAACTGATGCTTGTTACATTCACAGTTAGTCTGTTTATTAGCAATTCTATTACTCCTAATGTGTATTTGTTTGAGTGGCCTTTCATGTCAAGCTGATGGCATAAAACTGAAGTTGCCTACACTCACAAAAAGTGTTTTTATGCAGTGAAGCCTTGTTTTTCGATCGGGTTAGGTTGCTTTGACTGGACCTTTTCCGATAAGTAGGTCCAATTTTAATTCATGACCGTCATTCAGACTGAACATGTGAATAGCATCCAAGCTTTTTGTCTACTGAGGTTAAATGTGAAGCATCCAGGTAGTCATTAGTTCTGGGACATCACATAAGCATAATAGCTAAAAAAAACTTCCGATATATCTTATGAGAAGTATCTGAGGAAAATAAAGCTTGAACGCAGGTAATTATGTTAGTTGAAGTTGTGGGCTCTCGACATTGCACTGTTCAGCTGATTCAAACTCCATGAAGACTTGTTATGATATACTCCAGATTTTGGAAGTATGTAGGAAGAGTTTGCAAACAGAAACAGGAAAGTAAGATAATAACAAGTCTACTTGGAAATGCAAGAAACAAATAAGACTGTTGGACATTGTAAGAAAATACGCTTACATTAGTGATGAATAGCTGCAGGAATATAAAATAATAGTGTTCAGTGGTTAAAATATGGAGAAAACTATCCGATAAGAATTCTGTAGTCGAAATATTCTTTGATGGTGACATAACAACGTTGTAGTTACTTTATCGGAAATCTGAATAACTGAAGGATTCACTGTTTGTTACTGTCATCAATCAGTTTCGCTATGTTAGATAAGCAGTAACTTATGAATTCCTTCAAGATTGGATGGTAAGAAGGGGTGAACAACAAAGAACTCTGACTGTCAACGAACCAACAGACAAATATGCCGAGGCAAATGCAGGTGGATTGGACACACACTAATGAGACTGTTGAGTGACATCGTGAGACACGTCATCGCTTAATTGGAAAAGACGAGCTGCGTGACGTTTGGTTAGACAGTGACATGGAGGAGATAGTGTGAGGAGGAGATGACAGCTCATGGGGAATTGTGGAGTCAGATAAAGACGACGGTAGAAAAGAAGATGAAATGAAGATGTGCTATTGAAGGCCATCAAAATAAACAATGGTGCTATGTTATTCTGCACAAACCGTTGCTCTTGCTCTATTCCAAAGACTGTATGGTGTTATATCTGTGCTGAAATCATTGGCAAAAACGCCTTTCACTAATGAACGGAATTACAGTGAAGATCAGCTGACCTCATTTAATCTGATTTGGCAATGAGCATTTATTCTGATAAGGAAGAGATACATTTATGCACATTGGTATACGAGAAATGCTCTCTCTCTCTCCCTTACATGATTCAACGAAGAAAATGCTTAACAGTTCTTTTGTAAGTTAGAGAAACAAGTGCTTCTCGGCATTCCATATCCTCAGAACTGTTTGACTCTATGCTACAAAATAAATGTAATGAAGCTATCCACTCTTGTCTGAAAAAAAGGAAACTGTTGTACAGACTTTACAAATTTCGAAATTGCTCAACAGAAACCACAACAGAAAGATAGTTGATTCATCAGAGTTTAAGATTCCTCACAACTTTGTTTGATTTAATTGCTTCAGAATATAACTTTTGTAATATTGTTGTTTCGGAAGAGGCGGCAAAGTTTCAATTATTATCACTTTTATTATTATTATTATTTTAATGATGACAATGGACAACTCACTTTTGAAAATGCCATATCTGAAACGGGTCGCTTTGTTTGAATGTTTTCCAGTTGTTTCAAGCACCATTCCAATTCTTCAAGTGTTTCATTCGCGATTGTCTTATATTCAGCACCTTAAATTATATGAAAAGGCAAAAATACAAAGGCGTCATAGGACAGAGGGAAGAGGAGTATTCTGGAATACTGTGAAGACAATCAAAATGGAATAAAGTTTGGGTTATTTAACAAAAAATTAATTCCCTAAGGTATCGTATAATGAGTAAAGTAGAAAATAGTCCTTTACACAACCTTATCAGAACAGAAAATTATCATTTTATTGACGGAATATATGGATGATGGCGTCATTCTTTGTGAAAATGATTTGGACAAGAAGAGGATAATATCGCAGCTCAGTGAAGTACATTCAGCCTTCAAATTCAGGCATGAGGAAGTATCCTAGAGTAAAACTGTACGTCCAACTGACAAGAAGACCAGATGGTAGGCAGAATTAAAGAGAATTTGCATAAGAAAAGTGCTTGGACACGCCAATTTTGTTACTCTACAGCATAAAAAAATTTGGTAAAGACCCTCAGCCGTAGGATCAGAGCTATTTGTCCAGAAGATGCGACTGAAAACGAACTCAAGGTTGTATACAGCACATTAACGGAAAACAGCTACTCTGAATGGCTCAATGCTATGAGCACATGGTCGAGAGAATAGAGAAGAAGGTTTCTGAATCTGTTAAAAAGGAACCCTTTTTATATTTGCGACTACAATTCAAAGGTTTTATATATCCAAGTGAAATAATGTACAACAAAGTGAGAAAGCTGATTCAAGGAACATTAAATTCTGGTTAGCTGCATCCCTGTGATTCCTCAACTGAACATTGGATGCAGTACCTAGGATAGCTACCTCTGCTTGTGTGCATCCATTCACCTGCTATTGTCGAATCATTTTTATCAGCCATTGATCCAGGAACCTAATTTTTGTTTTTCTATCATTTATCGTATATCGAATGAATTACCGAAAGCCTCTTCTAGATAACGAACACTCCGAACGGGAGAGGCCAATGCAAAAGAAGTAGGTTTAGTCAGCTACTGTCGCTACCATCTTGAACTTCTGTCGGACTTATATATATCCAGAAATTCTTTGTGTTACTTCCCTTAATTTATCTGATCTAATATTCAATTTGCTTAGTGTTACATTAATGCATATTATCTCTATTGAACTAAACCTATTGATACTATTGATTTATATATATAGCGAAAATATTCATTCAGACATCTATAAAACACAAAATAATTGAACAAAGAATATCCTTTTCGATAAATTCCTCTTCCGGCTGTACAACTATATGTATATATGTTTATCTACAAAGAATATTCTAGAATAGTAGTCAATAACAGTATTCGTGTTTTTTAAATAATATCGATTTGTTAAGTAAGACCAGTGGAATTACGGTTCATTAAAGATGCTTAAATAATAATAATAGTAATATTAATAATAAAGATATAGTAGCAAATAGGATATCAATTAAAATTAGGGAAATTTCCACAAAAATTGAGGATCATTCGAAGCTAGATGCCCAAGGTAAGGATAATTTCTGAACCGGCTTCTTTTGGACGCATAAATTATGTATCTTAATATGGATCCCAACAGCCTCAGCGATATTTAGTAATCGAACTCTTAAGGCGAAATTAAGATTTACTGGTATGCGGTAAATGACTTTGAAAGCCTGGTTAACATCAATCTTGTGTTCTGTAACCACAAGATGAGATAGAATAGAGATATGAATGGATTTTGTTTGTCCTTTATTTAACCTCACAGTGTGATGTTCGGAAACCCGATGAGAAACACGCCTAATTGTACGGCCTACGTAACTGGCTCCACAGGAGCAGTTCAACTGGTAGGTACACATGGAAGAGGTGAAATTAGGCAGTTTATCTCTTAATCCTGAATGCAAAGTAGGGGTGGTTTTGAAGATACAGCGTAATTCAGCAGCAGGGAATGCTCTTTTTACCGCACTTCTAAGGCGTTTTCTTCGTATCTCTCTGATGTTGTCCCCGAGGAACTGAGGTTGTACGAATAAAGGCTTTTTAGGAACTGTTGGTATCCTAGGTTGCCTTGATTTTAGATTCATATTCTTATCAATGAACGTTTCTGGGTAACCATTTTGATTCAACAACCATTTAATATTATTAAGTTCCTCATCAAGACATTCATCCGAGCAGATTGCTCTTGCTCTGTGGTGGACCAAGCACTTTATCAGATTGTGTTTGTATTTCAAGGGCACAAAGCTGAGAAAATGTGTGTACTGTCCCATTGATGTAAGTTTTCTATATACACTTCTTTTTATTGTGCCATCCTCTTTTCTTCTCAGTATTAAAATTTATTGCAGGATGAACCTCGTTAAATTTATCCAGGATATTATTTGCTTCCTCCTCATTTTTCTTAATCAAAAGTGTGTCATCCTCATACCGACAGCAGAATTCAGGTTCATCAATAGCATCTTTCGAAGGCCCGCCAATTTTCTAGTTTCGCAAGGAAAATGTCAGCTAGAACGCTTCCTAGTGGTGACCCTATTGCCACACCACCGATTTGTCTGTATATTTCCTTATTAAATAAACAGTGAACATTCATTGTTCATTTTAAGAGAAGCTCTTTTATAAAAGATGTAGGAAGGCCGACATCGATGTTTCATCTTGTGAGTTCTTCGCATACAAAGTCTACTGTTTCCATAAGTGGTATATCGGTGAATAAGGAAGATACGTCAAATTATACCATGAATTTATTGTCAATATTTAAATCTGTTATCCTCTCAACAAATCCAAAAGTATCCTTTACTCTGCGTTTCATCAATTCAGTAGGAAGCCTTTTAACTGTGTCCACTGCTTCCTGTCGATTGCCACAAAACATCCAATAACGACAATTCAAAGTGCACCATGATCTCGAGCCACCTTTCATGTTGGCCGTATTGTGAACTCCACTGATAGAGTTTAGTCTGCAACAGAGAAAGGACTAGTCACCTGACAGTGGTTACTACCTAGTGTCTAATCAATACAGACAAAGAGTAATCACGAAGGAGTTTCATAGACTCAAGTGGTATCACTGCTTCATCTGATATTACCTTGTAAATCACACACACACTCTAGGTATGTAAGTCGTTAAGTATCAATGGAGATGACTTGTAGTCCTAAGAACCTTAGTAACAAAGATAAGTAGCAGTGTTAATGCTGAATGTAGTTTCGTTTTCACATTAAAATGTTTTATAATATCTGCAGGAATTGTTTATCATTGAGCTTATTTTGTGTAGTTCTTTAATCATGCCCTGTTAGAATACATCCTGACTGGTCTTCCCATCCTGAAACACTTGTTGAGTGTTATGTTAATGTAATCACATCAGTTTATGATAGACATATGCTCTTTCTCGATTTGGCGAGTTCATGTTTTTCACATCCCATATTCTTCTAGAGACAAGATTTAGAATTCATGGGTAATTGAATTCCCGCCCGGGTGGTTGCATCGTCAATGAGCTTGAACTCGTAACCTGAAGGCCAAAGGTTCGATCTTTAGCGGGGTCGTCACGTCAAACTAGTGAGGAGTTTCAAAGTAGGACGAAACAGCTATTGAGTGCCCCATATTGTTTTCAGTGACCTCTCTGACTGATGAGTTGATTCATGACAAATTGTCACAAGTCCCATAAATGAAATATCGGCAGTACTGCTCATTAAACAGGCTATCTAACTTTGAGAACCCGTACTACACTCCGCCTCTATATATGTGTATCCTTAGACACAAGACACAACTTCAGCTCTTGACATTGCTGCAGAAAAGTGGATTTCTCGCGATTTCCACTTCTAGTAGTCAACATCACTAGTGATTTTTCGACGTCCTCTTCCTTCCTCCTCATCTCATTTGTTCTTATCTTGAAGCTAATTGAGAGTTTCTCAATCTACTGCACTAAGCATGCAGAACAAAGCCATCTAATTTTAAACACTAATGTTAAGTCATTAAGTGGTTTCAGATAGTTCACAGATTTGGTGTGTCACCAAAGACCATTTCAAAAAGATTAATGCAGACTTCTATTAATAGCCACCTTCACTAGCTCCATACTGAAGATCAATTAGCCAGTCGTAAAGAATAAGGAACAAATAACTCTGACTGTCATTGATCTAAGAATAAAACTTGTGCACTGTGGTAGAGTGTAATTCCATTATGGGTGAATTTTATTTTGATAGAGTCTTACAGTGTTATACAGTAATATTTACTGATGACGTTTCGAGCACAATTTATTGCTCATAATCATATCAAGGCAATCACACGACTTCCTAAATTCATTTATATAGTTCCATTATTTTTCACTTGATTTCCACTTGATTTGATTGGTAGTGTTATTTTCCATATTTCGGGTATTAGTGATGATTCATTCCTATTGCACGTGTTGGGTGTAGATTCGATGAACAAAGATTCAGTAATCAACCTCTCTCTCCACCTACCTAGATTACTTTTTAGAATTTTAACCCTCTCCCACCCTATTGTGTGGTTGTGTGTTAATGCATGCATTGCAATTGCCGAGCTTTTTTCTAAATTACTTATCTTCTCTGGGTCAACCATTCTTACCTTAGCTAAATTCTTATGTTCTGACAATCTGACTACCCCTGACCTACTAGTTTGACCTATGTAGTTGACTTAACTCACAGTCATTGCAGGGAGACTTTATCAAAACAAAATTTACCCATAATGGAACTCTGACTGTCAACTAACCAGCTGGTAACCTGTCGTTCAATGAACAAATGTGCCCAGGAAAATAGAGGGGACTTGACTACCAAGTGAAATCGCGGACCACTTCATCGAGTAGAACCTGATTGGGAGACGACGAGTTGGGGTTTTAGTCGGTTTTAGGGTGAAATGGCGGAGATCATGTCAGAAGAAGATGAAAGCTTATGGGGAGTCATGGAGCCAACTAAAGACGACTGTAGAGAACAGCAAGACATGGATGTGTTCAGTTGAAGCCTTGTGTTCCAGTCGCAACCACAGGGAGTAATAATAACAATAAAGAGTTCCTGCACTCATTTGTTAGGACAGAAACTATAAAAGGAAATACAGAATACTAAGAGTAAGTAGCTACACTTCG